TATTTTAATTTCTCTTAATTGTAATTAAGCTTAGTTTTTGAGTATCCACCATTGTTTGGTGAGTTCTTTATTTAAACAAGCTTAAGTCACTTGTAAAATGGTGGATTATTCATCACCAAAACAGAGGCATAACGCTTGTTTTCACTAGCCTTTTGCTTCTAAACCCTTAATCCCACCGGGAGGAGAAATAAAACTTTAAGAGAGAGAAATATCCTTGAGTGCAAGGTCCCATTCTCTTTCTTTCTTAAGCTAGGCCACATCCTGGGCCCTTTCTCTCTTCTTCTCTACCCGTTATTTGCTTTGCGCAGTAACCCGCGTCAACGATGAATGTGCGGTCCCGAGCGAACCTAAGAGTTCTAACCCTTGGGTTCCTCTGCATTCTTCCACTAGCCAGTCAACCTCTTTGAGGGAATCGTCACAGAGAGGGACAATCGAACACCCATCGTAATTGCAAGCACGAGAGAGAGAAATGATTGGTTGAAGGCCTGAAGAGAGTCTGGGTCCAAACTGCGCCGACAGACAGCTGGAGGGCTTCGTTATTATTCTAAGATGGCGAAACGCCCGGGTGTGTCCCCCGAACCCCAAGTGGCGAGGTAAGTATCTGAACGTACCCCTGCCGTAAAAATTTCTCTCGTTGTTGGTTCCTATCTGCACTCAGGAGAGCCCGCGTACGCACACCCGTAGGTACCCAGTGTGCGCGGACCCTCTGTGGTTATTTGAGAGTGGATTTTCTCCTATCGTACATACCTCCCATCAGCGCAAGGACCCCGAGGGAAAATCAGGCCCCGACCATTGCACCTTACTTTAATTGTTTAGAGCCTCAGGCTTATACAAACACCCTATTTGAAATAAGATGGGGTTTCTATGAGTTGGCAGACATATTTGTACATATGCAGCCCCCCACAAAAATTCATTTTAGATGTTTTTTTAATATTTTTTTTTTATATTCATCATCTAGGCCAAGATGATCATAAATATGAAAAGACAAATAAACTTTTAAAATTAAAAATATAAATTTTAAATATTTTTTATGCTCCGTACATACTTATTTTGGACAATGCACTTTTAGATAAAATCCATCCTAAAGATGGACATTTATAAGTCAGCATGCCCTTGCATCCATGGACTCATGAAACAATTTTGCTTTGATATTACCTCATATTTGGTTACCACATTGTGGTTTTCAATCCTACTATATCGACATTTTAAAACAAGAAGTTAACTCCCTAATCTAAATGAAAAAACAGGCATGTATCCGTCTTTCCCCTAAATTACCAAAAAAAAAGAAAAAGAAAAAAACCTAATCCTTCCCACAATAACCATCTTCCGGAAATAATGATCTGCCCACCCAATTTTATTTCAATCAAAACATTCACACCACACCCTTTTCCTCAAAGATCCAAGCATACCTTTCTATACAAAAGTACACCCTTTCCAAAAGAACCCCTCATCTTTTGTAACCACCACCACCCCGTCGCCTCTAAATCCCAAGAACAACACATCTCTCAACCGTCCACGTGCAACGTGTCACATGGGCAGTGCAAAGCCCTAAAAATATATGTAATCTCTCAGTCAAAGAACGGAATGGCATGCCAGATAGAGAAAATGGATGAAGAGTCTTTCTCTCTCTAAAATAATATAAAATTATGCAGCAAAGTGGACGAGTAGAGAGAGGGTAAGGAAAGGAAGATCCTGTCTCTAGAATTGCGATGGGGAGACTAAGATGTCGTGTGAAATGGGAACAAACAAGTCAGTATACAAAGAAACCCTAATTCTTCAAATATCCTCTTTCTCTCTCTAAAAAGGGACCTAATTCTTCAAATGTCCTCTTTCTCCCTCTCTAAAGAAAGGGACCCAATTCTTCAAATGTCCTCTTTCTCTCTCTAGACTAGGGACCCAATTCCTCTCTAGAGTGGATTGGGAGCAAGGAAAAGTCATGGGCATGGCTCCATTAACCTCCCAGATTCTCACCCAACCCAACATGATGAATGGTAGAGGGGCAAGACTCCTTTTCTTTGACTTTTTACTTTACAAAATTCAGAATCATTGATTTTTAATTGGAGATGGATAAAAGGAGCAACATGGTTTGAACATTCCAAACTCCAATGGACACTTTTAAAATGAAAATCAAAATTATGAGAAGACCAATGCAAGAGACAAAGGGATTGACTCAAATGAGGCCAGCATAGGGTTCAACTAAGGAGACAGTGGTGGGGCTACAAGAAATAAAGAAAGGCAAAAATTACACCATGCTTCTGATTTTATAATAAAATTACACCTTACAGTACTGGTGTACAATTTTTGGTACTCCATATGGCAGCCACCATTCATTTTTGTGGCAGTCAATCATCTCCCTTGTAAGATTGTGTCGACCTTCTATTTAGTGAAGGGTGGGGATTGCCCTTATGTTAAAGGGTGGCAACGGGCCACCCAACCCTTTTGCTGTGGGGATTGGCCTCGCCGGCTCAAAAACAAATGAAAAAAAATAAAAGAAAAAACAGTTTGTAGCCCAGGCCGTAGGCCTGCCCAGCCCCATTTGACACCCACCATGATGTATATATAGAGTGATTCGCGCATGGATCCAAAAAATTTATCTAAAATACCAAATGCTCCATTTATATGTAAAAATTAACTTGTAGTTTTTTATTTTTATTTTTCAAAATTGTCTTTCAGTTCGAAGATGGGATGTTTTTTAAGTTTTTTATTTGTTTAGCTTTTTCGTTAGTAAGATAGTATCCCAAGCTTTAAGGACAGTGTCCAGGCTGTCTGAGGTTAGATCGATACTGAGCGGTCTGAGGTCCCCCATCCTCGAACCATTGTTTATCTCAAAAAATAAGGAATAATGAGTGGTCCAAGGGAACCTCAGAACGCCCTAGAATTGAGTTGTGCTTAGTCTAGAGAACGGTTTGAGGTTTTCATCCTCAGCCTGTTGTTTTTCATAAAAAAATAACAAAAAAAGAGCGGTCCGAGGATGGGAACCTCGAACCTAACTAGAGGGCAGTATAAGATGTGACCCTTGGAGCTCGAGGGATTGCCTACTAATAAAAAACTAAAAAATAAGTTAAAATGCGGTCCAAAAATGACATCTTCGTACCAAAAAATAATTTTAAAAAAATAAAAAATACCGATTAACCATCCTTCCTTATAATTTCCGCAAACATAGCATTTCGTATTCTAGGTAAAGTTTTCGGATCCGTACGTAAATAACTTGTTATATACCATATGCATCCGTGTAAGGTATTTTTTACAAGAAAGATATGGATGAAGTAGTTTGATTAATAAATTCATGTTGGGTAGGGGAAATCTAAGGCCACGATCTTGGGCTTAAAAGCTAGCAGATATTCCATATTTATTTGTGCAATTAAATTCCTCCTCTCTGGCGTGGATCAGAACTGTTGAAATCCTGACTCTATTCCTTATTTTATTACACATTATAATTAAATACTATTTATCACTACACAATATTATAAAACATCACGTGCACCCCCTAAAGCCCTTGAACCTTGGATTTGGCTCCCAAAGCAACTCTCTCTCTCTCTCTCTCTCTCTCCTAACAAACAAAAAGAAGAGAAGCAAGCCTCTATAACAAAAATCACGAAAAATAAGGTTAATTATTGAGGCAAGATATATCCAAGCTTTGAGTGAATTATGTAATGTGGGCACAACATCAACTCTTTTGTCTGCACAGGCCACATCATCTTTTGTCTTCTCTCTCCTCTTTTCTGCCTAATTTCCCAAATAAACCAATTAAACTTTGAACAAACTGCAAAATTTTATGTCCATAACATAGAGGACCATACTACTCTCTCTCTCTCTCTCCTTTAAGCAAAAAACACAATTATCTCTCTCTCTCCTTCAAGCAAAAAGTATATCTCTCTCTCTTAAGTATATACGCACAACATTCATGCATGCCCCTCATTCTCTGTCTCTTTAACATTCATGCATGTCCTTTGAGTCTCTCTCTCTCTGGCCCTTAGAAGGGTATGGGATTTAAGGGCATGAATGAACGATCAAGAAAAAAGGAAAAAGAAAAATATAAGGGCATGAGTTCTTGGTTTTTTGAAATATTTGTAGCTACCGAAACACACACTAACTAATATTATTTCCTCTATGAGCGCCTATAACTTGCTATATTCTTACATCCTATAAAAATTGTAAATAATCATAATATTTTAAAAATGAAAAAAAAAACACACACATCCAAAAGATAAATTTTTCTATCGTTAATATTATTATTATTAAAAAATACTCCCAAAGTTTGCTACTGGGATGTACAAAAATATATTTTAGTTATTATCGCACAAAAATATAAATTTTAAATTATTATTATTATCCTCATCATCACCATCTTCATTATCTCAAACTAGCATGTATATTATGCTCTTGCAAGAGCATAATTACATCGTAAGCGTTCCAATACTTAGATCTCACCATGGGCAAATTGGACCGTCCGTGATTCATATCTAAATATTAATTTTCTATTTACCCAAAAAAATATTAATTTTTTTAAATGCATAGAAAGTGAAATTTAGATTCCTCGTTCAAGTTTCATCAATGGGATGAAGAGGTTTCATACTAAAAGTTTGAGGTCCTAAATTTAATGGGGGATTAAATTTTACCCAAGGGAGTCATAAATAGTAAGCTATAATATCTCATTTACAAATTACAACATTTGCTCCATTATCCAATAGCGACTTGGGGCTTTGGATATATCAGACAGCGATTTCATCCCCTCTCTCTCTCATCATTAGAGGGAAGAGAGAGAGAGAGAAAAAAAATGAAATTCTGCGAAAATGACGACCCACGAGATGCCCCTCCTTCCCTTTTCTTGTCACCATATAACAAAGTGGCTAACACCAACTCTCTCTCTCTAAAATCAGGGATGTTTGTTTTCTCTCTCTAAATTATTGTGGAAAATGGGGTTAAGTACAAAGACTATTTATATACATATTTTGATTTTTCACTAGAAATAAAAAAAAAGTTAAAAAAAAAAACAGCAATAAATGCAAGGAGGCTATTTGCATTAGCTGGAAAAGAACAGGAACATATAAAAAAATGGGGGGAATATATTTGCAGATATGTTTGCCTGCAAATATCTTTGGCAGAAAATGGAGTGAATGAGAGAGGGCATGGGCACCTTCCAAAAGGGGGGCATGCATGGATCTGGGAACACTGCAAACAACCCATAAACCCCTTCCACATTCATGACACAGAAATTAAAGTAAATGCTTCCCTTCTCTTTTTTTTCTTTTTTTCTTTTTTGTTCTTTCTTTGATTTTTCTCGCTAACATTTTTTTATTTATGTCTTCCACTGAGTTTTGTTTCCCATTGGATTGACACCTAGAAAACCTCTCTGAGAAAACAAAGGTTGCTACGATCACTGGCCATCATCTCTGTCTCCTGCTCTCTTCTCTGCAAATCTGTTCCATAAAACAAAGAAAGAAATTTTAGATTAAGAATGCAAATCTATTGGTATTACATGAAACTAAGTAAAGCTTTTAGAGAGAGAGAGAGAGAGAGAGAGAGAGAGAGAGAGAGAGAGAGACTACGTGGTTGGTAGGAAGAAAGACGACGAACGACTGCTCTCGACTAAGTTGTCGTCGTCGTTCCTCGACAACTAGTTAGTAAGTGGTAGTAGTTAGACTAGTAGTATACTT